TCGAAACAATTTACTGTAGAAAGACCAAATTATGGGCGGGGTATGATGGGGCATTTTATTTATTTTTGAAGTTGTTAATTTTTTGATGTTTCTTGTATTTCTGCCCTTGTCTTGCTTTTCCTTGCTTCTCACTGCTTCTTTGCTTTTCTTGTTTTTCCAGCCTTTCTGTGCTTGCGTTGCTTTTCCTTGCTTCTCACTGCTTCTCTGCTTGTCCTTGCTTTTCATTGCTTCTTTGTGAATCCTCGTTCTTTCCTTGCTTTTGCTGCTTTTTGTGCCATCGTTCTTGCTTGGTCGCTTTTTTCCTGCTGTTTCTCGTTTTTTTTTTCGTGTTTCTCGAATTCCACATCAAAACAATGTTTGTCCCCTGGTCTGCTTGTCCCCTGGTCTCTGTTCCCCTGGTCCCTTGGTTGGTCCCCTGTCTGGTCCTACGTAGGTCTTTTGCTCCCTCCTAGGGCATGTGCGTCGAAAAACCATAATGTATTGTCCATCGTGTTGCTTATGTTTGCGAGCCCGAATCTTAGTCCTGGTCCCCCGGTCCCCTGGCCCCCTGTTTCCTTCTTTGCTTGTTGCTTGTTTCTTGTGCTTGTTACAGTGTGTGTGTGTGTCACCCTCCGTCTCCAGGAGTTTTGACATGTTTATAGTCTTGCAGGGGGCCAGCGGCCGACAAGCAAACGCTGGCTAACAATGATCACCGGCGCTCGCTCGTGGCTGGGTAGTGTCATTTTCCGGTATGATGAGAAAAAGGTAGGTGTACGGACGTGCAGGTCTGCCACACGAGCGGCAAATTGTGGCACAAAGCCTGAGTAGACACCAAAAAAGCCTTAGAAACAAAAAATAGAAAGAGAAAAACGAAAAGGGCAAGAGGAAAAGATAGGAGTAGCGAAAAAGATGACTACCTAGCACTTGACTAAAACGCGAGCGGTAGGGAAACGCGCCTCAAGAACCACCTAACAAGCCTGAAAGAAAACCTAGAAAACGAAGAAAGCGCAAGAGAGAAAGCGGGGGGCAGGGAGGGGGTATATGTCCATGTGTGTGTGTGCATGTGTGTGTGTGTCTGAATACTTAGCACTCTAGTTACTGATTACTTAGCGGCTCCTAATTACGTGCAATAGTTAGGGAGCGGGACTTGAGTCTTAAACCGCCCGGGTAGAGTAGACTAGAACAGGGACAACAGAAGGAAAGGCACCGACGCACAAGTGTGTCGAGTACCATTTCCTTCTGGTACCCTAATTGGAAGGGGGGGGGGAGAGAAGGGGGGGGGGGCGGGGGCTCATTCTCCGTAAGCCCGGCGGCATTCTGTCCAGAAGCGCGGCCGCTTTGCGATCAGGTGATTCATGGGTGAAACAAGGGATTCCAAAATCCAACGCGCGCAGGAAACGCTAAATCAATCTGTGATCCACGATGGTCTCGGCGCCTCTCTTGCGAGAGGATCACACTGTGCACCCAGTGGGACGACAGTGGTCAGCGCAACTGAAGTGTTGAACAAGGTGTTCACTTGTCTGCAGAAACGCGGCAGCTGAAAACGGTGGAAGGAAACCTGTTTGAGGGGGAGGTATCATGAAAACGACCATGGAAAGAAAACGACAGCAGCGGGAGCAGTGGTGTCTGTGTGTTTGATGCAGGTACGTCAGCTCCGCGTCCGGAATTGATATCCTCACCGGGTATGGCCAGCTTCGTTGGTGGAGAAGCAATACCGGTGTCTCCACCCCCTGCATTTTTCGTGAGAAAACACAAACTCCAAGAAACGGAGGGGGACACACACACACACACTTAGTCACAGGGTTTGCAGCTAGTCATAATCCACAGTGAAATGGATGAGGGAAACGCAAGGCGGCTGAGTCGGCAACAGTACTTGAAGTGTTGGCAAAACTGTTCAAACTCCCTCGCGACAGTGTAGCGGCAGACAGCGGCGGAGGGAAATGTTTTGGGGTATATCGTGGAAGAACCATGGAACCAAAACACAGCGCAGTGGGAAATGCAAGGTGGCTGAGTCGGCAACAGTACTTGAAGTGTTGGCAAAACTGTTCAAGCTCTCTCGCGACCATGGAACCAAAACACTGCGCAGGAAGATTGGAGTAGTGTCACAGCGCAGGTACACACAGTTGATCAGACTGTGCATCCAATTCACTGTGGATTATGACTAACTGCAAACCGTGTGACTAAGTGTGTAATTTCACCTTTCGTTTCCCTCATCCATTTCACAGTGGGTTATGACTAATTGTGTATCGTCCCCCTGGGTCCAGAGTGTCAACCCCCGCAAGGGGGCGCTGAAGCCATTGTGAATCACAGATCGATTCAATGTTTACTGCGCTCGTTGGATTATTGTTTCGGGATCCCATTTGTTTCACCCATGAATCAACTGATCGCAGAGCGGCCGCGCATGATTGATTTCTCTCCGCTTTTTGCACGGTTCAAGAGCATCTCGCCAGCTGTTTGTCATTTTTCACGAGGGCTCATGTACAGCTGACCAGGTCGTTTAGATTTTCAGAAGCCACACATCCACTTTCCTGGATTTGCGCGCGCGTTTGCAATCGGAACAGATTTGTCTTGCGCCGCGCTGTTCCATTGCGCCGCTGCTGCCACTGCGCTGCCGCTGAAGACAACAGCGAGTTGGATCATCTCAGCAGCATGCGTTTCCCGTGGCCCTATCCATACACGCCGCCAACAGCTCCACAAACCTTTCCAGTGGCACCACCGCTCCCGACAGCTCCAACGCCACATCCTTTTCCGACACACCACAACCCCTATCATACCAACCCTCTTCTCCCACGTCCGCCCTCACCACAACCAACACCAGTTCCTACGTTCGCAGTCTCTTACTGTGTGCCAATTCCAGCTCTTCAATCTGAACCACCACAGCCAGCCGCCACTACTCCAGCGTCCCCACAACCCACCAGAACTTTTCTTCAACCGCCGCCGGCGTCCACCTCACCAGCTCATTCCAGTACGACGACCGTATCCTGGGGCCCGCAGCAGGGTCTGGCAACCACAGCCATTTTCTGCTTGTCCACGTGTCCAATCAACCTCACCCCCTGGCACCGCTCCTGCGGACGCACCTCCGAACCAGGCCTCAACCACCCCTGCCATGCTCCGCCAACTACAATTCCAGCGTCCACCTCCCAGCCAATGCCGCCGCCACCTCCACCGCCACCAAACCCACCCGACCGCCAGGGCCCCGCCACTGACTCCACCGCCAAAGCAACTGACTCCACCGTTAACGCAATGGACTCCGCAGCCAAGACAACTGATCAAGCCACCACGAGCCATCATCCTCCAGCACCATCACACCGCCCGACGCTGCCATAGACGCCGACGTCGATCTGGGCGACACCGAAGACACCACGTCGACGCAGAAGGCATCGCTCTCGCCGAAAGCACTCAGCCACCACATCCACGCGCAGAGAATAAACGCCAGACTCTACATACTCTGCATCAGGCTCGTGTTCACCCACCCGTACCCCACCATCCACCCACCGTCACATGGTTACTCTACGTCCCAATACTGAGACTGCCACTCAGGAACAACAAGCCCCATACGCCGTGAGAGTGAGTGTGAGTGGGAGTGAGTGCGAGTGGGAGAGTGAGTGCGAGTGTGAGTGAGAGTGAGAGTGGGAGTGTGAGGGAGTGTGAGGGAGTGTGAGTGTGAGTGAAAGTGGGAGAGTGAGAGAGTGAGCATCTGAGAGCACAAAGTACTGCGCCTGCCACGAAATCTGCACTTCGAGGTTCACCATGCGCTGTGCCTGCCACGAAATCTGCACTTCGAGGTTCACAAAGCACTGTGCTGCCACGAAATCTGCACTTCGAGGCTCACCAAGTGCCGCGCCTGCCACGAAATCTGCACTTCGAGGTTCACCAAGCGCTGCACCTGCCACAAAAGCTGTTCGAGGTTCACCAAGTGGTGTGGCTGCCACGAAATCTGCACTTCTAGGTCCACCAAGCGCTGCACCTGCCACGAAATCTGCACTTCGAGGTTCACCAAGTGCTTCGCCTGCCACGAATCTGCACTTCAAGGTTCACTCAGCGCTGTACCTGTCACGAAATCTGCACTTCAAGGTTCACCAAGTGCTGTGCCTGCCACGAAATCTGCACTTCGAGGTTCACCAAGTGCTGTGCCTGCCACGAAATTTGCACTTCGAGGTTCACAAAGTGCTTTACCTGTCGCGAAATCTGCACTTCGAGGTTCACAAAGTGCTGTACCTGCCACGAAATCTGCACGTCGAGGTGCACAGAGTGCTGCACCTGCCACGAAATCTACAAAAGAGCCACATGTCCAAAAGTCACGATTCACTGCACCTGTCGCGAAATCTGAGCTCCTCGACGATCACCGCCATGTCAAAGTGCTGCGCCTGCTACGAAAAGTGCATTTCGAAGTGAAACGCCTCCGATCCCTTGCACCTGTCACGAAAAGTCGACTTTGCAGCAGCAAAACACGAGGTTTCCCTTGCACCTGTCACGAAAAGTGACCACCATGTACCGAAATGCGCACGGCACCACAACGAGAGCGCAGTCGCCTGAAGCACGAGCCGCGGGCAGGCAGATTTTGCGAGCCTGCGCAGTCGAAGTGCACATGGACGATGTCGAGAGGCATGAATGGACTGTAAATAGCAGCGAATCAGCCGCGCGCCCGCACGGAACAGCGATCTAAGCACACCTGCTTTTCACTTACCGTAAGAACCCCTCAGTGTGCCCACACTGTTTGGGGTAAAACACACACAATATATATAAACCAAAATTAAGTCCGGGAGCCCTGACTATTAAGAATTGCGCGCCGTGATGACAAGGTTGGTTTTCATTCTATGTTCGTGCGCTCGGTATTGATTGTTAGTCTTGGTCTGTGAGTGGATCAAATGCTGACACTGAGCGTGACATGCCCACAAAGGTTGGGAAGTGCTTGGACCGCGTCCTGCGCGCAACAAAGAACTACACGTTTTGCGCAGCAAAAAGTGCCTGTATTGCAGCACAGAGTGCAGAGATGATTTCTCCACATTGAACGGTTGGAGGCAACTGCGCTGCAAATATGGGCTCTTCTTGGCTTGAGGGTCATGGTCCCAGGTCACCCACAATCGCCCAGGGTCCTAGACTCACACAAAGCAGCCCTGGATGAAGTGAAGCGTAGAACTCTTTTGTCAGGATTGGCCATTGTTGGCCAAACTGGCTGGCAGAGGCTTGGAGGCACAAGATTGTTTTCTTACTTCGAGGGATTGTTGGCGCAAGGGAAGCGTCAAATTTGAGATCCAAAACGAAACAGTGACGGACATCCTGACACCAGTGACACCAGTGCTGACACCTTTTTTCTTGAGGGTAGGCCCGATACCTAGTTGTAGAAGGTATACTAATACAAGTGGTAGCAAAGGAAACTACTAGTAGCAAGATGCAGCAAGGAAGCAAGGGCACAGGTTCTTTGAGGAGACTTTCCCCGAAGTCGGCAGAAACTTTCTTGAAGCACTTGGGTTGAAACGGATCATGTAGAAACATCAATGCTTAGGGAAACTTCATGGCAAGCTATGCAGTGCCAGAGCACCCGAACAGGCTCTGGCGGCAAACACTGTCTTGCGCCTTACAGATGGCGCAGATACTATTCTCCCAGCACACCCTGAGGACGCTAAAGTTTTCAGCTGCATTTTGCATCCAGAGAGGCTCTCTCCCTTTCCTTGTGCTCGAGGATTTGTCTGAAGCAATCTATGCCTTTGCAAAACTTGGGGCACCAGACCTTGCCTCTTGGCATTGAGGGAAGGTTGCCAGTCGCTCGCAAAAGGATTTTCCAAACCTGCAAAGAAATGCAAAGAACATGTTTTGTCTCACAGCTGAGGTTCCTGGAGCCTGTCGACCACCAGTTTCAGGGTTTTTGCTTCGAGCCATGAAGGCAACGGACCCAGACCTTTTTGCTGTCACTCAGAATCAGACCAAACACGCCAATATCACCGTACATGCAGCGTTGTCGGTCTCGATCGGTTCCCATATAGTAGCAGCATCCCCTGTCGAATATCCTCTATACATTCTGGGAGCTTGAGCCAAAACGACCCTCAGATTTTATAGACAATTTTCCTATAGAATCAGATACAAGCAGTTCCCGAACAAGCCGGCGGCGGAAGTTTCCTATAAGAACAAATTGACCTATAGGAGTGTCCGCGTTCTCTCCAACATGCGCGTCCTCTAGTCAAACGCACGCGCTCCGGACTTTTGACCCACGGGATTCCAAGTTGGATCGCTTGCTCTCGTTGCGGAAGTGTCGGACGGGATGCGATTCCCCCTACTAAGCTGCGATGATATCCTAACCGTACCATTACCATAGTAGACGCAACCGTCTTGTGATACCGAGGATAATATAGCTTGGTTTTTGCTGTACTTTCGAGATACTGGACCACATTGCGAACAATTTTAGCTTCATGCCACAAACTTATTACTTCTGGTTTTTGCAAGGCTACTTCTGGTGAAAAGAAGTCAAAGGATGCGCTGGTTGATTTTCATGGACCTTTAGCCATATGGGCATACATCGACCCGCAAAGAGCAAAACAATGATTACAAGTTCATACCATGTGATACCATAATCTGTCTTCGAAATAGGGAGGTCTGGATGGCGCCAATTCAGTTGCTGAAAGAATTTCCAGACACATTTCGCAATTTGTGACCCCGCGGGGCATGCTTGTGCGATTACTTCATGGAGTTCTTCTGAAAATTCCGCGCTTGTCCTTCAATTTCCCATGTGCTGAGAACATGCTGCAAATGCGATATGTCATCAAGTCCTTGTGCCTGCAGAGCTGCCCCATCTTCTTGTTCTTTTTCAATTTTGAGTGTAGATTGTAGACGATTCAGAGTACACAAATACCGGTAGACACATAAAAGATCCTCCATTTGCCTTGCGCTGTGCAAAGAAATGTTATCGGCTGCTTCACGGAAAGTTGCAATATCCTGTCTATTAATTACTTTAGCTGTTTCATCAGCTAAAGCGTTTCCCATAATTGTATAAAGATCCGGCAAATTGTGTGCGTCTGCATAATCTCTATGAGACTTAACTTTGTGGATTTGAAAGAACCTTGCGTCCCAGGACACGCGAAGTCTTTGGACTAAATCATAATGGGCAAGATTATATGTCTTAGGGTCAAGCAGGTGGGTGCTCAGTGAACCGATAAGTTTTTCTACAAAGCTGGATCAGTATAGATATCAACAAGCGGTCGGGGCACTTGTTGCGAGTAAAATTCTGACACAGACTACGGATTCAAGTTCACCTCTATTAATGGTCTGATTACCCTTCACATGTGACACCTGCAAGATGTCAAAGTCATTAATGGATGGATCATTAGGATGGGAACGAATTTGGCGGACAGCTGCCCATGCTGCTTTGCAGCAATTTTGGGCGCCAACATTTGATTTTATAGAGATGGCACGCCGTGTCACCAGATTTAATAGAGGTCCTAACCTTTGATTCTATAGAAAGCATCTGGAGTAGTAGAAGGTTGAGAATTGATTTTTTAGTGGATGGTGTGTTGTGAGGTCAGGTAGGTTGATTTTGCACTGTGAGAGTGCCTCATGATGTTGCACGTTGAAACTCCATTGTCCAATCACCCCTCTTTTAAAATCATGTTTACACATGGGCCAACATCCGTATCCAGACATGTCTCTGTAAAATCAAGAACCAACCTCTTGGGTCACTTTCATCCAACAATCTTATGAAATCAATTTCAACCTTCATATGCCCCTACACTTCTCTATAGAATCAGAACCAACCTTGGCTACGCATCATTGATTTTCCTATTGTTTGCTTTCATTTTTCATGGTCTGTTTCCAGCACTGCCGGAGGTTGATACTTGATTTTATAGTGGTGCAAACTGCCCCCGCAGCCCGGTTTTTTAGCTTATAGCTATAAAAGCAAATCTCAAGGTACGCCGGTAATTCGGCAGGGGATGTACCGGCAGAATTGCGCGAGATAATATTTTCGGAGGCGCAATGCTTGAAGGACAAGTGTAGTATAGACAGTATAGACAATTGCGTTTGTAAGTGTGGATAAGAGATCACACTACATGTTTTCTTTCAATGCACAAATCGAGAAGTGTAGCCTTTGGTCAGGGGAAAGCCAAGCAACCCTGTGCAAGGTTAACGCGCACAAACCAAGTTTGCGTTTGGCTCAAGAAAAGGGTCCGACGTACGGGGCCGTATAACCACAAGTTATGGGCCCAAGGGTCGATCGCTGAAGACCACCCAAGACCGTTTTGTGGACGGCTTGGTCGTTGGCCGCCATGACGACCCTTCAGCTACGGCGGCGCCAGGCTTCACGAGATCGGGCGGAGCCTGGTCGAGAAGCCTCGGCGCGGCGGCCCACCATGGAGGAGGAGACCGCTGACCAGAGGCTGGATCGATCAGGGAAGAGAGAAGATCCAAGAGGGCTCGATGCCGGCTGGAGAGGAGGCTGTCGGAGGTTAGTTGATGGCCAGCGCTGCCGGTTCAACGGTGGCCGCGGCAGGAGATCGGGAGCCCAAGCGCGCGATCGAGCGGCGGCGGGTGGTGTACTACATGCTGGAGGCCATGGAGGGGAACTGGCGGCTGCGGCTGGAGGACTTGTGACAAGGACCACCTGACTGCCGCCTGGTTTGGGGGGCATTGGGAACAACACCAGAACCAATGAAGCCTGCGGTGGAGTCGGTGACAGCGGCGTTCCGAGGCCAAGGAACTTAAGAGTTGCCGCACCATCCTCGGAGAATGCGGCTTTGCTGTTTGGGGACTGGCTCACGGTCATATACCCCCGTCCTTGGAGAATGCGGCTGTGCTGTTTGGGGACTGGCTCGCGGTCATATACCCCCTTGATGGGAGACATCTGCACGTCCTGGAGGGAACTTTGGGATTTGATCATCCAGGAGGTGGAGTTGAAGTATGGGGAACGGCTGCAAGCAACCCCTTTACCTCGCCTTCACATCAAGGTGGAAGGCAGCCTTGCCGGAGGTGGTGAGACGGAACATGGCTTCGAGAAGGGTGGCCACCACGGTGATGATGATGTACAAGCTCTATCAACCTGGAGGAGGAGCTGAGAGGAGCAACCAGGTGCATACGGTGGATCTCCATACTCTGTTCGAAGGCCCAGCGGCTCTCTTCTTCAAATCAGCGCTGGCTTTCCAGCTGGTTGCCAAACTAGCTACCATGGCCGCAACCTGCAGCCTGAGATGGCCGCCAAGTCAAAACACCTGCTAACCACCCTGACCACTTTGGACGCCAAGTTCTCAGTTTCCACTTCCACCACTGCTTCACGCCCATCGCCGCAAAGAAGTGCTGCCATCGAGCTGCCACTCCAGTAGGCTTGGTGAGGAAATCAGCTATACCAAGTGCTGTCAAGGTGTGCGCCACGCTCCATGCCCCCACGAGCGCTGAAGGGGTTGAGATGGAACAAGGCATGGAGTCAAGTCCAGGGGGAGCTCAGCTGCGACTGAAGGGGTGGAGCTGGAGGTGAGTGGACCATTGAGGGACTACTTGCAGGAACTCGAGCGGAGGTGCGTCCGGCGTCCGGGAGCGGGCTTGGGAGAGTCTCGATGAGCTGGCAATGGTCTGCTTCGGATTTTGTGGCTTCTTCAACCGCGACACCCCCATCAGGTTCCTGCTGAGCATGTACGAAATGTCCAAGCCAGTGGGATAGCGCTGAGCTCGATGCAAGCTGCAGTCGAAGGGACGTTGGGGTTGGTGGAGGCAGTGCAAATCCCTTGTGGCTTTTGCGGTGGCAATCTCGAGTATGTGGAGGACTACCGGGGAGGCTGCGCAGGTGGGATTTGGAAGGCCACACAACATGGAAGTGAGATCGCGTCTGCTGCTGAAAAAGTTGTGGCGCGATGAACTTTGCCATCAAGCTGTGGGCGAAGAGCAAGGTCGAGTTTGGGTCGACGAGAACGAGGTGAATTACAAGATCAACTTCCCTATAGACTGGCTAAGTCAGAAAACTGTCTAATAGTTAGAAATCTGACTACTCTAGAAACTTGACTAATAGTCAGATATGAAAATAGACTTTCATCTTCGCCGTGCAACAAAAAATTGCTCCATGCGGCAAACTATTTTTGCCGCACGCGGCAGATAAGTGTGTTTGACGCAGGTTGCGCTCCACAAAGCAACGAGGAAGTTTCACAGCAATTGCCTCGAAACTGCTTCGCGCTCTTCGAGAAACTGCCGCTAAACTGCCTTGCTTTTTTGGTGAAACTTCCTCACGGTTTAGTGGCAAACTGCGTCGCAGGTTTTGTGAAACTACTTGAACGCTTTGGTGGAACTCTCTCGCTTTGCTTTGCTTTCCTTTGCTTGTTTGCTTGCTTTCTTCCTTGGTTGTTTGTTTGTTTCTTTGTTCTTTTTTGTTTTGTGTTGTTTTGCTGTTGTTTGGTTGGTTGGTTGGTTGGGTTGGGTTGGTTTGTTTTGTTTTGTTTTGTTTTGTTTTGTTAGTTTGTTTGGTTGGTTGGTTGTTTGTTTGTTTGTTCGTTCTGTTTTGTTTGTTTGTTTGTTTTGTTCTGTTCTGTTCTGTTCTGTTTGTTTGTTGTTTCGGTTTATGTTGTGAGTTGCGTTGTGTTGTTTCGTGTTGTTTTGTTTGTTTGGCGTTCTGTTGTGTTGTGTTGTTTTGTGTTGTGTTGTTTGCTTGTTTGTTGGTTTGGTTTGTTTTGATTGGTTTTGCTCGGTAGGTTTTGCTTTGTGTTGTTTGTGTTGGTTTGCGTTTTGCGTGTTTTATTTGTTGGTTTGTTTTGTTTTGCTTTGTTGCTTTGTTGTTTGTTTTGTTTGCTGTGTGTTGTTGCGTTGCGTTGCGTTGTGTTGCGTTGTGTTGTGTTGTGTTGTGTGGTGTGTTGTTCGCCTTGTTTTTTTTAGTTGGTTGGTTCTTCTGTTGTTTGTGTGTATCTGTCGGTCTGTTTG